CTTCATTTAACTCGTCGTAGCGATTCGAGTCGATTGGTTTGTTACTCCTTTCAATTGAATTTGATTAAATATGACTTCATTAGTCTTCATGTTGTTAGAAACAATTTGAATTGAATTGTCGATTTTGCATGTACACAAAGGGGTCAGATATATTGAAAATTCACACGCAAATTGCTTTTTAAGAGTCACTATTTGTGGTTCCATTCGAATTTTGTATTTATCAATTTGAGAAGAAACCGTGAATTGAATTTTTAATATGTTTTTAGTCGCATTACCAACACAGAAGACTTCGCGATGTTCGACATTGCCTTGAATGGTTTCTTCTTCTGAATTAAAATCAATTTGTTCAGAAGATACACAAATTCCGCCTTGGAAAGAAATAAAGTGCACATTCGACTTATTCATTTCAAAGACGGTTGTTGTCTTAGCCAATTCTTTTTTATGGATTTTGCTCAATAACTGTTTTATAATAATTGCAATAATTATAAAAATAGTTACTATTATAATAAGAATAATTATAACAATTATTAAAATGACCCACCACACCACTTGAGTGTTACATAAGGTACCATCTTTATTTGGTGAATTCCAAAAGGAACATTTTGTGCATTTTGAATTGGTAATTTCAGTGCATTTTAATATTTGAGTGATATTAACACATTTATTATTTGAAAGTAACACATGTGTAGAATTACATGAAGTACATTTTTTGTTTGTTAAAAGACACGTTTCACAGTTTTCATCACATTTTTCACATGCATTGGAATTCACCGTAAAATACCCATCTTGGCAATTTAAACATCCAATTTGAGTCACTTTATCTTTACAACCATTAATACCACTTTGAGGGAGACAATCATTGTTTATCGTCTTAAAATTTGTTGAATTACAAGTAAGACACTGTTCATTGTTGTTACATGTTAAACACTTTTCATTACATTTAAGACAATCCAACCCAACTCGATAATAACTATTTTTACATACTACACACCCACTTGACTTACTTGCAAATTGTGAGCACTTCTCTTTTAAATTGTCATTTGAAATACATTTATAATTAGTTAAATAAGAACTATAATAACAACTAAGACATTGAGTTGATGTCTCAAAACAAGTCATACAATTTTCATCACACTTTTCACATCTTTTTGTTGCCATATTAAAATAATATGAATCTTCACATCTTGTACATCCAAATGCATTTTGTTGTTCACAATGTTCTTCTTCACTTTTTACACAACTATTATTTGTAAGAAGGTATCCACTTTGACATTCATCACACTTTGTGTTTGTGATAAATAAACAATTTGATATTTGCATTGAATATTTCCCATTTTCATCATTTGGATTGAGACACATGTTTATCTCACACTTTCCATTCATATTCATTTG